ATGTACATTTCCTCAGCTCCCACAATATCCATGTTCTCTCAGTGGATGTTTCTTGTTTTTCTTTTCCAGTGTTGCTCCCACACAATGAGGCCAATTTTTGTTCAGGACAAAAGAAAATATAAACAGAGCATGGATTTGGAATATGAGCAAGGCCTCCGAGCCTGAAGAAATCTTTGGCCGTGGGGACAGGCCGTGCTATGTTCACCATCTGCCAACAGCATTGGGCTGACCAAGCACTAGCCAGTATCTCTGGTTGCTTTGCCTTTGCCTCCAGAAGGCTGATGGCTTAGACTCGTGGTATGAATTAAATTCTTGATTTAGACTCCTTGGAGTCGCTAAGCACCTGAAGTGCTTGCCTTGCAGGTGAGGCCAGGAGCCAGGCTGCTCTGAGCAGGTGCACAGGCAAATCCTCAAGGTGGTAGGATACAACAAATACTGAGCTCACCAGCCAAAGTCCCAGAGAGCAGCCCCGTGCAAAAGAGAGAGTTGTTATCAGACAGCCTCACTGGCCTTCTGATAGGGCTTGGTGTGTAAACCTCTTAGACACTCTCCCAGGCACCAGGGCACACGTGCTGTCATGGAGAGGCTTTGTGGCAGCAAGTCACCCAGGTCTGCACACATGAATGTGTGCACTGGGCTGTGACAAGCTGATTTATTCCAGAAGAGTTGATTTATTATGGGTGATATAAACCAACTGCAGTAAGGGCCTCCTATCTCCAAGCTCACTGACTGCAGCTCAGAAGCTGCTGGTAAATGCCCCGTGAAACATTTATTTAGATAAAACAATGTTAAGCCGTCAGCAGATGAACTTCATTTGTGTCCTCTGGCTTGCCAGACTTTGTACTGAGCTACTGAGATGCAAGCTGTCCTGCTAAAAGTCTACAGACAAATTCTGCCTCCTCTGAAACTGCTCGGACTTTGGTCCATTTGGTCTGCTCTGGGTTTTCGCATTGGCACAACAGCCAAAGAGATCAATAGGCTGTGATGAGAACTGACCCAAGGAAAAGAGAATAAATGAAAGCAGTCAACAATCAAACTTTCAAAGGCTGTTTTTATTAACGATATTAAAATGTTGTCTCTTAGTTTTTTGCCTTTACTTAATGACTAGCATAGAAATAACCCCATTTGCAACTTTTCTGCCTGAACTTTTTTGATACAGATGAAATCACTTGGAATAAGTCAGGTGTCTGCCCACCAAAGCCAGGGGCCCCAAGGCTGTGCTCGGTGGCGATGGCACCAGGGCTGTATGCGCAGCCAGTATTGCTTCCGAGTCACCCAGCCTGAATCTGAGACTGGAAATACAAGACTGGAGAAGAAAAAATGATCCCATGATGTAAGGAGGTGACACCACAAAGCAGCTCTAAAGAAAGAGAGTGATGAGGCAGAAGTAAAGGATCTGGGCCTGGAGAAGCAGCGACAGCCAAGAGGTGCAGAAGTGCTGAGTGCAGCCTGTGAAGGCCAGGCTTTGCTCAATGAAAGCTGGCTATTTAAATGTGCCTTTGTCAGCCCTCAGAGCTCCAGAGCAGCTTGTGATTGTTAAGTCCTGCAGTACAAACAGCCCCAGAGTCATATTTACCCTCAACAAAACACAAATTAATTTAACATTATTCTCCTAGCAATTAAGTCAGCACTTATCAGAACCCGAAGAGGCACATTTGCTTCTTTTGCCGTCATTCCCTACCTGCAGTGGGGAGAAGACAGAGAAAGGGTTTTGACGCTGTGCACAGTGCTAGAAGGAGGGTACAGGCAGTCTGGATGGGGGCTGCGGCAGATCCCCGGCACGCATAGCACAGAGCTATAGAGTATGGCTCTCTGTAACCATAGGGAGAAAGGATAAATGGATTATTTTGGAGTGATGTGCATTGAGAACTCATGCCACTGGGGAATGCGGCCAGGCTATTTTTAATGTACTGCTTCATTTTGCACCTGCTACCATTACAGGGTTGTTTTTGTTTCCATTACAGTCACTTGTCTTGCAGAGTTTATAACTCCTATGAAACATGCAGTTGTGGGCTGGATTTTCCTCCACAGCTCAGGAGCAAAGATTTTTCTCGTCACAAAACAAAAAAGGTGAGCATGGCAGCTCAAGCTGCCTTTTGAATAATTTAATAGGGTTTTCATAATTGTGATTCCTAAACAGCAGTTTAACATCGCTTCCTTTATTCATTCTGAAATGGAGCAACATAGGGTACAAGGACCTGTCCCTAAGGAGCTTGCAAAACCAAAACTGAATGGAGAGTCATTCTCAAGTACTTAATCAGCCGCAATATTGCAATAAAGTGATGAAATAAGAGATAAGGAGTCTTGGCCCTTTTTCCCGCTCTCCCCACGTGGAGGCCAAGTGGAGCTTAGCATCTCTGAGAGCTCAGGCTGGTGCCTGGCGTGGAGCCGCACTGCCAGGATTGCATGCCCCCAAACACCACTCCAGCATGAAACTCCACTTCAGCAGGGTGCTGGCGTCCTCCAGGGAAGGTGATTTAGAATCACCCCTACCTGGCGTCCACCATCTCCTCTGGAAAACACCAGGCCTAGGCTCTGTAGGTCACATTCTATGGAGAGCCTCACAGCCTTATCCAGGCAACAGCCCCACTCAGAACCTTTTCACCCTCTCACATCTGAACTCTCATTGGGGTGGTTTTGCAGTCAGGATACGAATGTGAACAGTCCCTAGGGAATCTCCATGCCCCTCATCTTATTGTCTGAAACCAGGGAGCAGGGTGGCTGCTCAGAGTGTCTCCTCAGCCCAGCACTGCTACCAGCTTCCCACAGAGTGGAATCGAACCCAGATCACAAGGAAAACAAGCTGTGGGTGTGAGCTTTGCCTTGTGTGGCCCAAGATAAGTCAGAAATAATGGTGCAAATTCTCAGTGCCAAATATGTATTCAAGGGGACTGGCCCCCTGTCTTCATAAATCAAGGCAAATCCCTAAATCAAAACCACTCTGAATTCAAACCATGGGATTGGGTTTTTCATCCAGATTCATTTGGACAATAAAAATGCACCGCTTTCCCCCTGAATATCAATTCAATTAATTTGGACTCACAGACCAAATGATGCTTGACAGCCCTTGCATACTCTCTCCTTCGCTTTCTGCAAATTCCTAGTCATTGACTTTGCCAGCAGCCATCCCGCCTGGAGCAGCACTTCCAGTGCTTAACCTATCTATTTGCAACAACTTCTGTCAGAAAAGCACAATTAATTATGCTGCTGATTGCACGTTTGCACAGATTTGGAGTTTGTAAGTGTTTCATCCAGATCAGTTTGTAAGTGTTTCATCCAGTTAAGCTAAGTGGATGCTGCAGAGGCAAGCCAAGGGGCTGCAGGCTCTGCTTCTACTACATCCTAGTAAGGGAATCCTCACACTGCAGCGGTCCCACTGGGAGGATCGGGCTCGGGCCACCGAGTCCTTCTTATCGTGGCTGCCTGCCAAATTCTTCCAAGGAATAAGTGTCACTTTGTGGTACCTCTATTTTCCTTCCCAATAAAATAATAATTTGGCAGTGCCTGAGATGATGATAGTAAATCAGTGTAAAACAGTAGAGGACACCACTAAATTCAACCTATTTATCATGCAACTTCACTTAGCTATGCTAGCTGCAAGAGGACATAGGCTACTGTACTCCTAGTTTAGTTCAGAAGGTGAGCTAGGCTTTCAAGAACAAAGGGCAGGGAACCATCTCTCCACTGGAGCAAGGATTGCTGGGGGCTTATGTACCACTGTGGCCATGGCCTGGACTGGATGCAGAATGCAAGGCAAAAAGTCAGTATCCCCCCTACTCCTTCCAGCAGAACTACACACTTTATTGCACCCTGCCATGACATGTCGCCCACCATCCCAAGGCACTCTGAGCTTCTCAGACTTTCAGGTATAGCTCAGTACGTAGGCCAGACTGTTCTGTCCATGGATTATTCCAAAAGTGTACAGCAGATTGACACAAGCAGATGTCTGTGCTACAGAAAGATTGCGAGAAGGAATGTCCCCACAGATCTTGCTCTCCATCTTGTTTAGGTCCTACATGGATTGCCCTTGTCCCCACTACAGTACTGTGGCACTGGGATGAAGATCCCTGGAAGTAAGGCCTGCAGTCTAAATAATATGTGCAAATCAGTTACAGTTTACAGTGTAAGATAGCAAGATTTTCCTTGAATTTTGGGTGAAAATTTTAATACAAATCCCCCCATTCTGCTTTTCCCACTACGTCATGGTGCTTTTCAAAGAGAGAGCAAACAGGCTTTCTTGAGAACAAACCACAGACTTGAAATCTGCCCTCTGTTTTCATGAAAAAAAAAAAAAAGGGTTTCAGAAGGATAATCATATTCGGAAATGATGTGACTAAATGTTATCAGGCTGTCATGGTGATTGCAGTCTTTTAAAAAATGCCTGCATTGTGGTTCACTAATGATAGCTATATTAACTAAACTAAACACCATTCGTCTGTTCAAGTATTTTTCATATGCGCTACTGAATTACACGTCTCTTGGTTTTTTAATTTTTTTTCTTTTTTTTCTTTTTTTCTTTTTTTTTTTCTGTTGGAATACTATTCTTTGTCTTATAAACACTGGAAATGAATTCAAGCAATAAGCAAGAGCAGAGATAACTTTGTCACCTTTGCTATATTTCATATCTCTGTGTCCAGCTGAGTCTCACATTAACTCGTCTGCAAAAGTAGATATTGAGCATCATGCTGCCAGCAAAGTTACTTGCTTAAAGTAGAACTTCAAACCCACAGTTTCTGGCACTTATTGTTTTTTTAGTCTCAACTCAAGTGCAGCTCCCACCAGAAATCTTACTGATGTTAGTGTTCACATCTGTGTGACTTGCAGAAGACGAGCTGCACTGCTGATGTAGTGTACATGTTGAGTTGGTTCTGACCACCTTACTAGCTCAAGCTTCTGAAATTCCTCTTCCCAGGCCCCTAAGGCCCATGAGGGATTTGAGAGAGCTTTACCTTCCTAAATGGGCACAGAAATGAAAGCACCTTTGGCACACAAGTACATACCAAGGCATGGACTCCACTTCAGAAACCCTTTGAACGCGGCGCTCTAAGAGACTACCTCCACACAACAGGACACAAGGATTTCAGAGCAGCAGTGAGGTCACGTTGAAGAGAAGAAGACATCTGAAGATAACCTGAAAGGGCAAGACAAAAACTTTGACCACCTAGATATTCCTTGAATCTGGAACTGTACGTTCACAGATTCAGGCACCTTTAGAGCCCTTGGAGCACTCTCCAAACCCTATGCTGACAGTGTAAGTAGCTCCAAATGATGCAGAGGATAAGCTCTGTCCAAAGATGCATCAATCATAAATTACAAGTTTGCAAAATAATTTCAGGTGGTTTTCTGTTTTGTTGTTGTTGTTTGTGAAACGTAGGCTGTGCTTATGTTCCTGATCCTTTGGACACGAGATAACATCTTTCCTGGAGACTATTACTCTACGCTCTGAAATCTGCAGGAACTCTGTGATTTCATCCACATCTCCTTGCAGAGCAATTAGGCTGGTGGAGGATGAGAGGGCTGAAAGTACATGGGTCAGATGTTCTTTGTTCTCTTGGGGACAGATGACATTATCATACGCATTTAGCCACCACACTATACACCCTTCCTCTGCTGTTCACAGCAGCCTCCCACTGGCATCCCATTCGTTATTCAAGCTTGCTAAAGGAAGACGTTGACGGGCACATAATGATCAGAAATTGAATCAGTTCAGCCTTCCCAGGCATTCTGCAACTTTTGTTTAATAGAGTTGTTTAATATCATGACTCATTCACTTTATTGTTGTTCAGTGAGTAATATTTTGTGGTTACACGTGTTTTCTTTTTGCTACATGTGTAACTTCATAACATTTTTGAACACAGAATCTGCTTTTCTTCAACTTTGCTCAACTTAGAATTCAAGCACATGAACCCTGCTATTGAAAACTCATCATTAATTAATGATGCTTAACTGCTCTCAGCCTACATTTTGTGTATCGAAAGAACTCTCCCCCTCCTGCTGTATTCCCCCTCTCTTCCTGCTCACTATATATATAAGGAGGGCTATATTTAGTGGGAGATTTAGGTTGATCTGCAATTCTCACTGCAAATTCCTTTCCATCAGCAGCTCCAGCCAGAAGGTCTGAATAAGAGAAAGGTCTGCAATTCAAGCAGCACACCAAGAGGCTTCCTGTTTTCCTGGATTTTTCAGGTTTGCTACTGTGTGCGCAGAGCAGCTGGTACTAGACTCTGCAGACTGAGTGGCTGCTAACTCATCCGTGTTCTGGCTCTGGCATCAGACTCCGGTGCAAAACATTGTCTGGTTGATGGTCCTTCTAGAAATATAGGCAGCGAAAGCAAGAAAAGCATATCTGATCTTGAAATATTTCCAGAGCAGAGTGTCAGAGAGGATAATGCTGACAGGACTGGCAATCTCTCAGAGAAGGAGAATGAAGTAAAGGAGAGCAGTCTGTAAATCATTGCTGAGGAAAATACGGTGTGGAGTGAGCTCTGTACTCAGATCCCTGCTTCCAGTGCGGGCAGGGAAAAGAGAAAGAAAAACATTATAGATGTGTGCTAGATTTCCTAAGCTTTCCTGGTCCACAATGCTTGCTTGCCCTTCTGGCCTCATTTATGCCCAACACTGAAAGCACTTGCCCAAGGAAAAAAAAACAAAACAGTGAGGCACAGCCTTCGCTTCTTGCAGGAGCTGCCCAGCAGAGCCAGTGTGTTGCCTGTTCCCAAAGGGAAGTCCTGTCTGGGAGGAGAGCCTTGCTTGGGGTATTGGAGACCAGGTTTCAATCACTACTAACCACAGACATCCTGGGCAGAGCCTGACACCTGTAAAGAGCAAGGCTTTTATTCACCCACCTCTCAGGCATGTTGATAGGGTGAATATTTTAAAGCCCATGAGATGCCCAAATGTGAAGGTTCTGGGAAGCACACAGTGCTGGAGATTACGTGGTTTGCTCTTTATTCCTCACTGGACTCTAGGATTTCCATTTTGCTAACTACTGTACTACATTTCATATTCATGTTTTACCTACTACCGAACTGCCTAAGAATAGCAGTCTGCATGCTTTCAGTCTCAGCTGCATTTTAACACTTAAACATTTGTTAAAATGAAGTCAAACACTTGCCTACCTAATTTGGATGATGTCAGTGTATGTGTAGAATGAACATGATAAGGACTGTACTATGGAGTATATCTAGTAGTTGATTTTTTTGCCAACCAAGAGAAACAAGATGACTGTATAAGAACGTTTTCCCTAAAAGAATCATGCCTGAGATTAGCTAAGATTAGCTGCACTTGCTAGGCTTCAAAACCTTGCGTTGTGATATGACGTTTATGTCAGTAGCTGTAATAATTGTTGCAAGCCTGTAGGAATGCCAGTGTTGACTGTGTATTTCACAGATTTCAGTAAGATAAGAAGCATGCTATGGATTTATATTTTTTTCTTCAGCTGACCTGAAGGGACCACTTGAATAGCTTAAAGCATTGAAGGCACCTGAAGAGCCTTTGAAATGGTGGTTGTAATGTACTTTTTATTTTTACAGCATGTGCTGATTGAATGGGGCTGCCACTGGCTTCTTTCTCTCTCCATATTTTTTGCTTTCTCTTCCAGACCTTCTGTAGTGCCTTATTATTTCCTTATCTTTGGTGTCTTGAAGTTGTACAATCTACTGTTGATACCCCAACATCACAGAGTGGTGCTGCCGCAGATATCCATACACAGAACATGCTTTTGCTGCCATATTCATTATACTAAACAAACAGTTTTGATAGCAATCTTCTGCATGTGATTATATTCTTCCAAGTACCAAACAGTATTTTGTCAAATGCCTGGTAATCACAATCGGCTAATTGCCTTTGCTCTTGATCTTGTCCCAGACTTCCTGCATTAGCAAAATGTATTTATAGAGCCTATGTAATAAGTGCACTGCACTGATTGAAATGTTGGATGTGTTTCAGTTACTGTTTATGCTTTATTATTCTTCTTTCTTTGTAAATTAGAGACTCTGGAAAGTGTTGGAGAGTTCAGCTTGGTGCAGTTATGATGACTTCCTAATGTTCATTTCTCTTCTTATTATGTCTGCATCTGTTGTTCGGGTTAAAAGACCTAGTAGCAGTGATAGGCCCTTTCCAAAATGATGGAGCCAAATTCTTTCAAACTATGGAGAAATTTGGTCCAGATCCAAATTTCACAGCTTGGACTTATCTCCATAATGAACCAAACCAACACCCAAGATACGAACAGCCTTGAACTTAGATCCCAGATAAGGACGTGGTGTGTAAATTCTCTTAAAGCTCAGACTCATGATCTTTTCAGAAAGGGGTTTTCCTAATTTTAGATATCACTGCCTATCTCCTCTTTGCAAGTGCCTTCAGTGGGAAGTTTCCATGGCTCTATCAAGCCAAGTCAGCGGCCTTGGTGAACTGAGCAGCCTCAGCAAAAAGTCAGATGAGTTACATTGAGATGCTGCAGGAATCGCATTGAGCTAGGCCAGCAGCTTCGTCCAGGCATAATTTCCACTTGCAGGCTCTGCTGGGGAAACAGTCATCTCTAGGACAGGGACAGCAGTAATGCCCTGTTTTCTCTTCACCAGAGCTGCAAGGACACCTCTGCCTACATTCCTTGGTAGTACTCATAGCTGTGGCATTGGCTTACACCAAAGCAAAATTTTGTCCCATCTATGAGTGACAGGAGACTGATTGACAAAAAACAGTCTGTTTGTATCCCAAAATGTATTTGTATGATTCCTTTGTGGCTGCTTTTCACATGAGTCAACTTCTGCAAAAGGAAAAGCTCTGGTTTCACCAAGGAAATACAATAGTTTGTTTTCAATAGCACAAAATGTCTCCCATTTTAATTACTTCTGAGGAGCTCCGACATACGAATAAAGGGCCAAAAAAGGAGCTGCCATGGCTGGTGTGGCTGGGAGACCGTTCGTTATTTACAATAAAGCGAGCAGGATCAGAATATGACCTGATGGTATGACTGCTAGCATTCCAGTAAATTCCAATTGCAATTCCTCTTTCACAAGAAATGTTGCTTTTCCCAAAGAAGTCTGTCTGGTGTTTTATTTTTGTGTTTGGGCAGACCAGCTTGTTGTCTCTGGCTTCGCAAGGAATGCCGAGGTGGAACAGACAGAACATTAGCTTGAGGGGAAAAAGAAATGGCTATTGCTTCAGAGTAAGTCTCCTGCCTTTCGTCAGCTCATGTCCTACCTCTGGTGCTTGGTGGAGAGGTATTTTTTCCCACCCACTTTGGCCCTGACAGAAACTAAAGGAAAACAAAATAAATTGTTACATACCTGGTCTGCAGATCATCGTGTCCTTCCCCTGCTTAGTAAATGTTTCTTTAATTGGCTTAGTTAGCCCCCTCACCTTTCAGCACTTCAGGAATGACTCTTTGAAGAGAGCCATGTACAGAGATTTAGTTGACGTTTAGTGACACGAGACTCTACAGTCTCCAAAATATGACTGATGTCACTTGTTATGTTCCCTTGGGTCTCTGGGGACAAAGTCACTCTTACTCTGAAGCATGCATTGACAATCTCAAGATAACACTTCTTTGACAGAGGCAGGGGCCCTCTTCCAGGGCCTGAAGTAATCTCTAGAAAGTTTCCAATATGGGCATTGTTTGTCATTTATATCTCAAAAATGCTTTTTATGTTTGACTTGCAGTGATTTTAGTATGAAAGTTGTCACTGAGAACAAAAATATGTATTATTTTTCTGCTGGAAGGTTGTGCTTGGAAGCTCACACTCGGATGGAAGAAACATTGTGAACAAGCTCACATGAAGAGAGGAGAATGACAGCAACCTGTGCTCTTAGAATCATAGAATCACCAAGGTTGAAAAAGACCTTCAAGATCATCCAGTCCAATTGTCCACCTATCACCAATATTTCCCACTAACAGCGTCCCTCAGTATAACATCTAAGTGTTTCTTGAACACCCCCAGGGACTGCGACTTCACCACCTTCTTGGGCAGCCCATCCAGCGCTTCTCGATGAAGAAGTTTTTCCTACTATCTCCTTCCTAACGTCCAACTTCACGCCTCATTCTGCAACCCGACACTCTGCTCACGGGGAGGGCGGCGTCGGTGCCAGCCCAGGGAAGGCGACATCATCCCTTCGGAGGGGCCCGGGGTA